GTATAGGTATATGCAATATAACTTTTGGACCGTATATTGTATTATTTTCTTCTACTCGGTAACCGATCGTGGACGCGTAAAAAGGGCGCGACACAAATATCATTGTCCCTAAAATCCAACGAAAAGAAAAAAAATTATAATTAATTTTAAATTTATGTAGGTATGTTGTAGAGGTGTACGCGAAGTTATAGTAATATGATTTGTATTGTATCGTATTTTAGAAACGGTATACCTGTGTAGTTTGATTAAAACAATATTTGATCCGAGAACATTTATTCGACAAAAATGCAATAATTTTATATTATACATTTTATAACACATTTTTTCAACAAGAATACGAGTAATTTTCATATTTTTTCACTGCTGTGTACTCCTGTCAGAATCGCGATTTGGATGCAAATACTCATATAATCATTGTTTTCATATACGAGTATGCAGATAATGACAAAACTTCACTCTAAAATATATTATATTGTCGGCAGTGCAGGAGGTAAACGATCCGAGACGAGTGCTCGACACCGTGTCGCTGTCCGGCTTTTATATATATATACATACATATATATGCCGCCTCCGATTTAATATTTTTTGGAATAGATACATTTTTGTTTTTTTTTTCGAAAACGTGTCGATTCTGCTCTTTCGACAGTTCAACAATAAGACCGAAAACAATTTGCATAAAAGCTTCAAAATTTTAACTTAAAAAGCGTATAAAAAAACCACTGTGACTAATACACGATCTTTGACATTTCTTTAGGGCCATAAAAACAAACAACTTGTGATATTTTATTAAATGTTTGAGCAATTTTGAAAACCTAAACAAAACTGTTATCCGCGTAAAACCAAAAAAAAACTATAAACTCGAAAATTTCAAATTTCTGTGAGTACCTTAAAAATCACCATGCATTATTAGAAATATCACCACGTCCGGAAAGAGCTAATATAAATTCTCGGTGAAAATTTCACTTCTACAATTATTTTTCGGTTAATTAATAAATAATAAAAAAAAAAACCACAAAACAAATCTAAACTAACCAAAACAGTTATTGATTATGTGTCCTAACATTTCCTAACATTATCAAGAAATCTACGATGAAAAAAACGACTAATTGCCTCCTTCATACACAAACAAACTTCGCAAACAGAAACCTGTACCGTTGAGGTCAACGATCTGAGCAAGAGTCTGGAAGAAAAGTTATATATAGACAAAAAAAAAAAAAAAGCACTTATTATAACTGAGTAACGCTCAGAATCTAAAAATGGATATTACAAAGTTAAACGAAGCAGTGAATTTTGTTTGCCAGTGCGTATCCTATACATACACTCTTGCAGCAGGTTTAATGTTTTTTGTAAAGCAGAAAAACTAAATAATTTTCGTTGCCGCCGCGAAATGATAAATGCAATCATAATATAATAATAAATAATAAAATAATAATTATGACAATAATGTTTTGGGTCAGCGTGCATATTATGTGTGTGCGGCTCGGTGGCCGATGTCGGATGCTTTTGATGGAGCTTGGATGCGGTTGATAGCCTACATGAATTTAATTAAAAACGTATTAATAAATCCACGCCTTTTAAATTTTCGTTTATAACCGTAGGTTTGTTTTTTTCTTTTTTCCATCGTCGATTTAAACCGTTTTAAAATATTATCGCATATCAATACAATATACACGAATTATATTTGATAAAATAAGAAAAAAAGTTAATTTGGTCTAGAGAGAGCCGCTAAATTTTCCATAGGCATAGCGAGAATAAAATTTGCTCACAAGAATAGGGAAAAGTCAGTTATCCAATTTTTATACCGAAAGCTAAAGTCGGTTTTCGTGTTTTATTTCTAAATAAAATTGGATAAAACGATCACATAAATCATATTTTTTTTATTTTTTGTTTTTTGTCTAATTTATAGTCATTTTTATTGTAATGAATCCGAATTCAAATTTTGTATTTATCGGATAACTTACTTTTGGTCACATAATAATATGCTCATATTAATGAGCAAATTTGCTAGAACATTTTTTTTAACAATATTAATTTTAATTACCATATTTCTCAATTTTCAACACTCTTTTAGTACGCGAAGAGGTGAATATAATGATCAAATTTAATCAACAATACATTATTATATCAATGAAAAAATTGGGGGAGGGAGTTGAAATAAAATCAAAAATGCATAAGTTCAAATACAAGGACCATCTTAATGTACGTAGAAAGAGCCATATTTTTAATGTTTTGGGGCAGATTAGACAAAATCCTAATTAGTATCGACTAAATGTTTAAACAAATTCTGAACAAAGTAAAAATATTATTTTATAGTGAAATGTTGTTTTTGGATAACAGTTATATCCTTTATGATATTTAATACAACGTTTCTCAGAGATGATGATTTTTTTTTTCTTACCATCGCTCGCATTTCTGACCTGTAGTAATATGATTTTTGATTCTGAGCCAAACACGAAAGCATTAGCACTTTTTTTTCAATTTAATGTGTAGTGTAGTTTTACGTACGAGTATACATATAGTGGTGATACATCACTTTTAGAATAAAAAAAAAAATCTCTATACACGGAAAGAAGCCCGGCAAGTACCCTTGCGCATTAGAAGTTTTGTTCAGGTGTGAAATATGCGGTAGAGTTTTACCATGCCTCTCGTGTGTCATTAACAGAACGAATACAATAATACGATTTTTTTTTTTTTAACCAAGTTTTGAAAGTAACTAAGTTTACTCACGTATATCTACTTTTCGGTATGAGAATTTAATTATTAATTATTCTTTGAAAACCTTATATTGCGATATCGTCTATTGATCTTTTTTTTAATTTTTACTACAGGGTTATTCCCAAAACGTCAATTATTTTTTATACGGAAATGTTGAGTATATTTAAATTTTTCTCTTTCTCGGCTTTCAATTGTAAATACCGTACAATTTCGTTTGGATATTATAATGATCATTAAACGATCCTATATGTGACGATGTCTAAAACAGAATAAAATGTATACGGAATCTCCATATTGTTGTATTATAATCGCTGATCGTGAAGCTGGTCTGTGATAAAAATAATTAATTTTGTGTATATATATTTATATTCTATTTGTATTTTTTTCAAAAGCTTTTACGAGCCATTTAGGCTCTTTGCTTCTAAGACAAATTCACCTTATACTTCTCGTGCATAAGCTAGGTCCAAATTTCCGTTCCAATCCGGTTTTAACACCTCCAGATCTATTCCAATCACAACTATCCATATTTGCCTTGTACATCCCTTTGATCTTTTTCGATTTCTTTGATTTACCAACACCATCTTAATAAAATAACCATTCTCTCTCCACGCATGGCCGGTCCAGGCATGTCTTGAGCTCCTTACAAACTGCACTATATCCTCTTTAGTATACAAATTCTTTAGTTCCTCATTTGAGGTTTTTTTTTGGTGGTGGGGGGGGGTTTATTTGTTTATACATATATATATTTTTTTTTATTATACCTTTTGTATTTGTTTTTATTTATTTGCATGTTTGTTATACGCATTTGAATCAGTGTACACATTGTAGACAATATACAAGTCTGCTGAAAAAAAATCTATTTTTCAGTCGGTAGATAATATTGCGTAACATATTAAACTAACATAATTGTGCTTTTTATTTATTTAACATATAATATCCAGTATAATCTTTAAACGAAAAAAAAAAAATTAAAGTAAATACGCTGTACAAATACGTAATATTCGCTTAAAGTAAATATTATGGTGATTTTCGGTATATATTATTATTATTATGCAATGCATATTTATTTGAAACCATATTGTGTTCGGGCGGTACACGCTGCGCTGTCGATACCTAAATAAATATAAAATATTTCCACTCGATTAAATCCAATTAAAACCAATAGACATTTCGTGTATGAAATATTATGTGTTTAAGTATAAAATTTAAAGATTAACATTTATATAATGACAAGTAAACAAAATTATTGATTACAATTCTGTTTTATGATTCTGAGCATAACGATGAATATAATATTATGATGTTGGTTTAATTTAGACGGAATTTTTTTTTTATATATCTTCAATCGACTTTTCTATCCGAAATTTTACCTGGATCGTCGACATTGGAAATTGGCTTCTGACAGCAAATTATCTCTATTTGATTAAGTTGCTAATTTACGTTTTTGCGTAAATATTCCCGTACAGTCGGGAGAACTACACGAATTATTAAATAGTGATTTCTTCAAGAAAAAAATTCGCTTTCAAAAATCTCGCTTGACTAGCAGAGCTTTATTTGTAGTAAACCTATGTTTTTTAAAAACACGCACAAAAAATAAAACACTAAAATGATTGCAATTGTCTTTTGGCGGTTTGTATGGTTTGATTTTCATAAACTGTATAATTTATACTCCGCCGTTTCATTGAAATTTACAAAACGATAAAAAATGTTTTTATTATTTTATAAAACATTTGAAGAACAGCGCGAAAAATATTTGTAATTTTAATTACGGCGAAATGCGTTTAACAATATTTATTCGTATTTACTTAAGATTATTCCTGAGCAAAGAGCGAAGAAACTATTAATTTTACAACGATGCGTTTTTATTATTATTATTATTTTTTTTTTTTTTGTTTTCATCTCTGCAAATATTTTTTGTGTTTTTTTCGAGGCAGTAAAAATGGTAATTTAAAAGAGGTCATTTTTATTTAATTCCCCAGTTCAATTGCAAAAAAAAAAACCCCGAAAACAAGACGGGCGTAGAAAATGAAAGCATTAAAATTTTAATACTGCAGGCGAATCTTCTCGCGATCGCATTTCGAAAACGAGTAATGATTTATAATTTCTTTAAATTTTAAAATAACTACGCGATAAAATGTCGGATTACTTTCCCACCGTCGCCGTTAGGGTGACCTAATCGAAAAAAAAAACGAAACGTCTGAATTACGTCCAACGCAGACTGCGTTATATTTTTCGGATTTGTTTCGTTAAAATATTAAATGGTATTACAAATTGGTCTTTATAACATCAAGAACTATAATAAAGTTTTTCGATGCCTCTTTAGGCCACATGAAAATGTCTGCTCGTATAAAGCCTACCACTATTCATTTCCATTAATATCCTATGTATACATTTCGGATTTTGCTTCCCTTTTTTTAGATGTGTTAATGACTCGAGATGGTCTTGCTACCCACTATAGCTATGACTTTAATTATAATGTTATAACCAGGGATCGGTACTTAAAACAATTTAAAACCCAAGAAAACCAAAAGTAATATTTTCGAAATTTTGGAAAATCGATCTCAAAAAAGGTACACCACTCTAACTTAAAATATAAATTCATTCAATTAGTATTATATTATGACTAAACTATAGTCATTTTTTTTTTTTTTTTTTTTTTTTTTTTAAGAACATATTATTCGGTCGAGTTGTTAACAATTGATAAGTAAGACAATCGTGCTTTTGTCTAGTTCTAAAAATCGGATATTTTTAAAAATCAACAACTTTAACTATATATGTAGCATGGTCAACGATATCTTTCGGAAATTTGAACTGTGCAGGTTCACGCGACAAGTAGATAAGATATCAAAAAACATACAGACACACTTTTCACGATTGATGGGCCACTGTAGTAAATGAAAAGTTGGAAAGGAGAAATTTAACTTATATCACTGTACGCAACGATTAATCATTAAAACGATTCTGAGCGGAGTTCGGTTATAAATGTTTTGAAAAGCAGTAATGTTTACTATTTTCGTCAAAATGAAATATTAAAACTATTAAAAAAAAACAGCTAAAAAATTATATTCAACTTTCTTTTTACCAATATATACAATTTATGAAAAACCTCCGGTTGCATATTCAGACATTTCTGTTAAGTTTCGATAAAATAAAATTCCAATAAATAGTTCAAAAATGGCTCAAATATTTTTTTAAACTGCAAAACGTCTAGAAAAAGCTAATTTAAGTACTCTGTCAACATTTTAATTTTTATCAAAATTAATTATTAGAAAAAAAAAAAAAAAAATTAAAACAATAAGAGAATTATTTTCGTAAATTTGTCTGTTCTTTCTACGGTTTTTTTTATCGATTTTTCTCAATTATTAAAAAACCTATTATGAAAATCAAACAACATCTTCTTTCCTAAGCACTAGATCTAAAATCTAACAAAAACGATCTCTTGTCATTTTTCTACTAGAGCAATATTTCTTGCATAAAACATAAACCGTACAAATTTAAAATAAAGAAATCATAACGCTGCAAATTGATCAGTTATAAATTTTTGTATTTTTCCCAATTATTATAAAAACTAAATAGAAAATCATAAAATGAAGTATTTACTCATCAGCTAGATTAAAAAAGCAACACATAACGTCTTTAGTCTTTTTTTCTTTATTAAAGTAATATTTTTGATAAAAAAAATCGTACATAAAAATAATAAAATCGGGAACGTCGGGGCGTACAGTAAATATTTGCCATTTTACCAATTAATTTAAAAACTATTGGAAAATCAAAAAAATGACCTCTCTAATGCACCAACTAGATAAAACTACCTTTCAGAAAGATACTACAATTGATACATCTAAGTAAGATTTTTTGTCCAAAAGATTTGTATGGACAGAAAAAAAATACAAAAATACTCACATTATAAAACCAAAAGATCCTTCACTACCATGTGGAACTAAACAACAGATAAAACTATTAAAATAATATTGAAAAAAAAAAAAATTAAAGTCGAAATATTTGAAACGATTTTAATAATGTGCTATACATTTCTATTAGATTTAACGCCAAACAAAAAACATATAAGGAGCAAATTCTCTAAGTCCCGAACCCCAACTACCATAATAATATCTAATAACCGAACAACGATCGATCGTTTTTTGTTTACTATGTGAACATATTTGAAAAAATAATATTATTCAATTATTATATTTTTTAAAGAGAAAAAAAATAAACATTTTGAAAAATGACACGAAAAAAAAGGTTTAGTTGATTTAGATTCTCAATTCTAAACTCTTTACTCTTGATCTTTATTTCTTAATATTGTTTCACGTGAATTCAATAATAATATAATGGCTTTAAATATTTCAATGAAAAAAAAACCATCCCCGTGAAGCTGGTCCATTATATTATTATGTCGTTGTGGAAATGTTTTACGTACTTTCATATTTTTACATTCCGAATGGAGCAAGAAAGTAGTCGGTTTAGCGTAATATTTTTTATTCTTCACAATATATGACATACCTAACGATTGTTAACACACTTTTTTCGGTTAAGTGGAGTACCCATTTGAAAGTTAAATTGCATTAAGTGAATAGGTATTTAATATAAATTGTATTTCTGGCAGAATTTTTCTCTTCGTAGTTTTTGCTTTAGTGAAAATCGCAATAAAATAACGCATTTAGGTAATACAATAAATTATAATTTATATTTTTTCCGTTTCATGTAATTTATTTTTCTAATTATATCGTAATCCAAAAACGTATCAAGAGTATAGATGTAGATAGAGTATATTATGAATATTTTAACAAGGTTTTTTTTTTTTTTGACAAAAAATAGCATGGGTTGCAACATAATTTTAGGGCGGCGAATATAAACAATAATTATTGGGACAAATTATAATAGTTAAATAAATTTTAAAAAACCTTCATACTTCGTACCCATGAATGGGTTAGTATCGTAAGTCAAATATAAGATATACATATAAGGTAATTTAATTTATATTTGTACGCAATGATAAATCAGAAATAAAACAGAAAATGTTGATACAAATAGATTTAAAAAAAAAATTATTAAAAAACCTTGAGAATTTCAAATAGCCACAAAATTTTTTGAAAATAACAAAATACGACTACACAAAGTGCTAATATGTTAAGTAATTCAAAATTATCAATGATTTTATTTTATTGAATTTTTATAAACAAATAAATTATATATTTTAAGGTAGATCTAAATACCATACATAATATAAGTAACATGTACATTCTATTATATTATCAAAGAATTAAGGCAAATTCATAACGAATGAGAGAAATACATTTAAGAGAGCAAGGAGTGTTGTAGCATCCAAGTCGCGCCTGGGACAGAATATGAAATTGTTTTTAAAACGATTAATAATACGTTAATTTTAGTTTTAGATTTCGAGATTTTAATATTTAAACGGAATATTATTTTATGCGATGGACGATCCTCATAGAGGATTTATTATAACAATATAATATGTACGTTTAATACATTCTGAAATAGCCGTAATATTTTTATACGAGCACTTAAAATTTGAAAAACGTCCAATAAAAACTATATACTACGTAGTAAACCCGACCGCTAAGAATCGTTTTAGGATTTATTATCGCTTTCAAAATTTAAAAAGCAATACGACTTTGGCTAGTGCCAAGATGAGTAATGCAGTAAGTATTCGTAGGGAATCTATAAAACCGCGCAGACGTTGTGTCTCACGTATTTGTCCACGACCTATTGTGCAGTGTTTGTCCCGTTTTTTTCCCCCATTTTTTTATATCATCACTAAATATTTTAGCCCGGTGACTTAAGATTGAAATTTTATGTTTTATTATAGCTAGAGCCGTGTAGTGAGGGTCCCGAAATATATATTTCAGGTAAAAGTCAAATTTTAAAATCTATCGTTACGGGCATGGTTAAATTAGATTAGTCACTTGGTTTTTTTTTTAAGTTTTATTATAAGATACGGATGCGTCAGTTTTTTCAAGTATTATTGATCCACCGATTATAGTCCTAAACTTAAAATTGACCGAATTACAGCAGTACAGTTTGAATATAATTCTATTTATTCGATTTTTCCAAAAACTTAGTAGATAATGAGTGATGTTTCAAAAAATATAATTATTCTAAATGGATAAAAACGTTTTTAAAATAGTCGCCCTATTCATATCTGATGATAAAAATAGAGATCGTCGGTTAAAAAGAACTAAGTAGAGTAGTAACCCTAATTACTTCGGATCTACATAACTATATTTTCATCTCCTTTCGGCGAACCTAGTATTTCGAAACTACTTATTAATCTTGCTTATATTATATCGCGTGCAATTTTCGATTAGTTATATGGGTACATATGTAGAATTGAAGTATCTCGTTTTTGAAAGCCGATTACCGTTGTCCAGAATAACTATGTAAGTAAAATCAATCTCACAAAGGGTAATAAAACTAGCAATGCCTAGGAAAAATCGTTTTCGGATTGTGAAGCACACGTTGTACACCAGGGACCACAACTTTGTATACGTGGGGCCGCAACCTCAAATCATGTTATATTGTAACCTACGCAAATTATACTTTGTTTTAATTCTTTTAGAACGGCCGTTTGGAATCGTACGTTTGTACCACCAACGGACCAATAAGTCTCAGTTGTAATGCAAAATGTCTAACTTTATCAAGTATTTTCTTATTTTATCTACATCTTTTTTTTAAGCATCATTGAAGATTCACCGACAGAAGGGGCCTTCCGTCATACAATGTTATTGTACCGTACCGTCAGGTCTAATTTACTACAGTTGGTTTTATTGTTCATGAGTGCGCCGATAGAGTTAACAATTTTATATATTCATAAAATATGTTCATTAATGGCTAGGAGAGTCGTCAAATAAAATCGCATTTTAATCTAAGATCATCGGGCCGGTATATTATTATAATGCCCCCACTGCATATGTACAGTTAAAATCGTTAATGAATTATTTAATGTATCGTACTTTCAGAATTACAAAATAAATTAAAAATCGGCCTATTAAAACGTCTATAAATGTATATACTTTAACAGGTATAAATATAATATCACAAAACATATAAGTATACGAATTTCACGATTTTCTAATCTAACTTAACCTAAAATCAACGATGTTGTTAGACTTTTGTCTCGGTGTTATATATGCCTATTTTATAGTATGTATTCTCGAATCGCGTATTCGAAAATATCAACACTCAAATAAAAAACTCGGTTGGGTTAACTTAGCTAATTAGTTAAAAAAATAAAAAATATTCATAAGAAAATAACTTAATTATTTTTTTTAACTAATAATTAATAATTCCAACTTAACTAAGATTTATTTTTACAAATTTAAAGATTTTTTTTATGAATTTTGTTTTAAAAAACTTGTTACGTTATAATAATATATACATGTTCTAAATACAAATATTAGCGGTATTAACTATTTTGTATAATTATATATTACCTTAAAACACTAACCGAAAGTGAAAAGTTTTAATAACGTAAGTCAGATAAAATAATAACGCGGTAAAGATGACGAGAAGAACTGATGAAACGAAAACTATTACCTAACTAATGAAATTAGTTATAATACCAACAGACAGTCATTTTTACCCAAAAAAACCTAATTACGAAGAACTTTATTACGTTCATTCAAAAATATGATCCAGAAATCGAATGATAAAATTGAATTAAAAAAAAAAAAAAAAAATGAACTTTAATATTAACGTTAGACATTTTATACCTGTATCTTATATTTTATTTTAAATGTAAAAACACGTATTGATTTCCTCCACTATAGTGGAATATAATTAATTTGTACATAAAATGAAATTAGTCCAATATAGCCTTTTGTATTTAAAAATTGTTTTTTATTGAAAATAAATATTGTGACCACTTAAATTAGAATAATTATTTGCGAGGTCGGTAAGTCCGATTGATAATTAAAACCCTTCAATCGCCTTGGTTTTTATTATTATTTTTTTTTTTTTTATGGAAATACCATCAAAAATAT